AAAAGGCAAGACTAACCTAATCATGGGTGTGCTGGGTCGGAGCTCAGGCTGAACGTGTAACCATGGTATGGCGTTGCTCTCCTGTATGGAAATAGGCTGATGAATGTGACATAACTGGCACATGCTTCATGCAACATATCATTAGAAAAGTTATAATCTGCTCTGTGTGGCTATTCTGTTTGTGTGCGTGTGTCATTCCCGTGTTCGGAGTGAGAAATATGAAGTAATAGAAGATTTGCCCAGAGTTGCTTGGGTCCTTAACTTAAATACATTTTTTTCATTTAAATCATTGTTTTGGGGTGGGGCTGGGGAGGTCAGTAGGCAGGCTGCCCTAGGGAGAGAGGACAACCCCAGCCCTCTCTCACCACAGCAGCGTGGGGCCAGGTGAGAAGTGCTTCTCTGTGGCTGCTGCAGCTGCAGTGGGCACAGCCCAGGGAGGGATGCATATCCCCCAGGTTGGGGGACAGACACACAAACAGACAAACTCTCTGAAATATATAGTAGATGTCCCTTTCTCCGCCCACTGCTGGCCCAGTTGAGCTATAGCTGTTCTGGTCCCCGTCTCTGGCCCCTTGCTTCCTCCTTGTGGTCATTCTACAGTATAACTCCCTCTTGCCAGACTCCTCCCTTTCTATTTTATGAGAAATAGTCGAATTCCATGTTGACTTTTTCCCAACAAATTATGTTCTTCTGGGTGTCTGACACTTTTATTCCTTACTATTGTTTCAACTAATTTGCCTGGTACTGATGTTATGCTTACTGGGCTGTAATAGTTTCCCCCAATCTCCAACGAGCTGAAACTGAGACTGGGTGACTAGGGATGGGTCACTCAAAATCCCCTTGTTCTGTTCGTGCTCTTCGAAGCACCTGACATTGGCCACAGTCAGAAGCTGGAATGCTGAGCCAGATCGGTGGTTCTCCCTGGGAGTTCTCACAACAGGCCTCAGAAAGAGCACGAGCAAAGTCAGGACCAAATGAAATGTCCCAATCCGGGGTTTGTTTAGGCTGTTCTCTATGCTGTACGCTGAAATGGAAGTACAGTATTTAGATTCCAGGTGATTTATTTGATAATGATATGGCAAAAATAAGGAAGTCAGCAACGTTTCATAACAGTGTGGGGTGACGCTTGGGTATTTTCATGGCTGATTTTGTAGGTTTCCAATTGAGGTGAAACTTGGGGGTTCACAAGACAAACCAGACTCTTGAAAGGGATACAGCAGCCTGGAAAGATTGAGAGCCATGGAGCTGGATGGCCATTGATTGGAGCCTATATGGCCGTTCTTATAACTAACCACTAACTCCTACCAACAACGCATCTCATTCTGTTCAAAACTCTAGAAAGTAAAAGAGACAAACGTCCTTAATACAGAGTTCAGGTTCCATGGCTGAAGCTCCCGCCCTTCCAGAATGTCAAGATCAGCAAAATTCACAAGTTGTGAAAACCAGGAAATACAACTAAGGTGCACACCCATTTAACCTTAACTCTGCCCTCTTAAGGCCAAGTCACGTTACGCCCATAGCGCACACTCTCTCGGCCTTTGCATCGCACTGACCAGGAGCAACCTACACCTGCCGCATGCCCGCATGTTTAGCGTACTCCACAGAAAGAACACATCATAAGCTTCACACCCCTTCAGTAGTCCCTTGGCTTTATGCACTTGATGCCATCTGTCACCATTCTTTCCCTTATTCTTTGGTGAAGGAGGGAGAAAAATTATACTCCTTGGCCTCTGAGGATAGAACAAGAAGCAATGGGCTTAAACTGCACCAAGGGAGGTTTTGGTCGAACATTAGGAAAAACTTCCTCACTGTCAGGGTGATGAAACACTGGAATAAATTGCTTGGGGAGGATGTAGAATTTCCATCACTGGAGATATTTAAGAGCAGGTAGACAGACATCTATCAGGGATGGTCTTAGATGGTGCTTGGTCCTGCCATGAGGGCAGGGGACTGGACTTGATGACCTCTCGAGGTCCCTTCCAGTTCTAGTTTCTGTGATTCATTAAACCCACAGAGCGCCCAAGTCCCCATGTAGCGAATTCCTCCGCCTTTCCAGGCAGCTGGGCGTAACACAGCGCAGTGCTGCTACAGTCCATGCAAATAATTCCCAGGGCCTCTTGCCAGCGTCAGAGGGCAAACTGGAGTTTGCAGAGGCGTGTGTCTTATCTCTTCAGTTCCTCTACCTTACCTGTATTTCACAACTTCTGAGTTTTGCTGAAGTTGACACTCTGGCTGGGCAGGAGGCACCAGCCGACACTATTAGCTGTGTGATGACTGTGGCGTGGTGGGGGGGCTGTCTGCTCTGTGTCCCCCTGCGCTGTGATGTGATTCCAACTGACTCACCCAACGTGTATTAACCCACACCCCAGGCTCAGCCTCCCAGGGGGAGAGACAAAAGGAGGAAGATGGAGACCAACACCTGGCTGGGGGGCAGGGCTTTGGGGGGAGGCAGTGGCTCTCTGGGACGCATGGAGAGAACGGGCTAAGCTGGGGGGTAGGGGCGATGGACCCTAACCCTAGGGGCCTGAGACATCCTGGCCCTGCCCCCGGTAGCCTCATCACGTATGTGCTGGGCTGTATTCTGGAAAATCAATAAACCCCTCTATGCTACTGGCTGCTGATGTGACGGCGAGTTGGGCTTTCTGTACCCCCGTACCAGCCAGAACAGACGCCGCCACATCTCTCCCCCTCCACGAGCGAACTGAGCAGGGTCGGCGTGAAGTTGGTTCCCTGGACACTCTGGCTGGGCAGGAGGCACCAGGAGGGACTGTGCGGTGACGCTTTGTTTGGCCCTGGAATGCAGAGCGTTCCCCCCTGCAGCCGCGCGGGGCCACGTGCTTGCCAGCATAGCAGCACGGTCATTGTTGGGTCCACAAATGGTGCTACCCTGCCCAGAAAGAAAGGAAGCCTGGGCTGGAGAGCGCAGAATCATGGGACCCAAAATTCCACCGGCTTTTGCCTGGTTTCTGTTATGGACCCCACCGTGCACAACAAGCAAAATCCAAAAGTGCATCCGGCACAGAGTGAAGCAAAGGAGCATGGGACACCTTTGTAGATTACCACGTGCTCAGTACATACCTTGTCCCCTCTGTGTGCATACACCGATGTGAACTGAAACTGGGCTCAGCCATGCCGTGTGCGTGCTATTTGTGAGGCTGGCATATTGCACATCAATTCTGTGCCCACAAAACCCCCATGGTCGACACAGCCAAAGAAGAAGAATAGCTGGGGGGCATGCACAGAAACGCTGGCATTAGTGGCAGAAGGGGGATCCTGGTATGGGAGGCAGGCAAAGGAACGGGACATGACCTTTGGTTGGCAGGAAGGTTGGGGAAACCAATATGGGACAGTGTAAAATGGTTTAAATGAAAGCAATTTAAATCACTAATTTTAATCATGTTTCAGATCAGGGCTATTCAACTTTGGAAGTCCCGGGGGCCACAATGATACTTCACAGCACATACCGAGGGCCACAACTTAGGTGTGGTTGCATACACATATAAATCAATGCAAATAGCTTCTTTCACACTAACGGGCATGAGTACAAAGCTTAAGGCAAGACTACACAACACACAGGCCCCATTTAAGTCAGTTCTGTTGATATTAATAAAATGCAATGTTTACGCAATTTCCACCCATATAACAGCATTTTTAATGAGCAATGACAGTCCAGGAATTTAACTGCTAAAGCACATATCAACAGAAGACCATTATCTTGACTACTTTTTTGTTTTGGCTCTTACCTGCGGGTCATGTGTTGAGCCCCGTGTAAACCTAAACTACACCATGGGCCGCAAACAAATAGGCCGCAGGTGACATGTTGAGTCCTGTTTTAGATCATCAAGCAAGAAACCTTGATTTAATTGTTTTTTGAGTTTGTACTTTTTAGGTATTTTCCTAAAGAGAGATTAATTCTTGTTGGCTGGTAACCATTAAAATGCTGATTTATAATTAAATATACACTTTTCTCTAAAGTTGATACTACTTTTTGCTAATCAGCAGGATACACTATTTTATACACCTATATTTAAGCAATTATATAGCTTGACACACATTTATACAATCTTAATTTTTACTTTCATTTGTTAGAAAATGACTGATGTGTTTCTTATTTACTAGATGATGATTTTTTTCTTTTGATTTGTTCTAACCTGTTTGGATGGACATTCAAAATCAATTGACAGTTCATGAAAGCGGCAGTTTTTAATTAAAATAAAACTACATGAAATGTACTGAATTCATATGAAGAGGGGTGGGAGGTTTTGCATATTTTGCACTACAAAGTTATCTGTCAAACATAGGAGATATCTGTAAGTTGGTGAATTGAACTGTCTGTTTTGGACACACTGTCCTTCCAGCTTTTAGAACTAGTAGAACTCATCCTCTTGGGATAGTTTGTGATAGGTGATCCTAGGGTTTAGTCATAGATTGGGAAAGGAAAACAAGCTTTCCTCCTTGAACTGGAAGAGCAGAAAAGGGGTCTCACAGAGCCCCTGGCCAGGAGGAGGTTGTCCAGAGCGGTGGGGAGAGCGGAAAAGGGTGGGATGGGAGAGTGGCACACAGACAGGTGGAGATGAATACATGAAAGGATCCTAAGAGCCCCTGAAGTGTGCAGTAAGTTTGGCCTATGCAAGCTATGAAGTGTGTGACTCTCTAGCATTTACACAAAACAGGCCTCTCTCCCTTCTGCTCTGGGAAGCTGTCATTGGCCCCACATGGTATTGCTGCCAGCAGATGCCCGATAAATTCACCCAAAGGCTGATCTGCTGTGTGCTACTGCCGCAGGGACTTGTGTGTGTGTGTGTGTGTCCTTTGAGTGCACTCTTTTGTCCTTAACCTGTGCACTTGACAAGCCAACACAGTTTCTCCGTCAGTTTCCTTATCTATGCTACAGAGAGAATTCCCGCCTCGGATTACGAGTTGTCAGTGACTGTATTGTGCTTTGCGATCACCTGATGGAAGGCACTAAAGTGGTGCGTCTTGTCATTTTGTCCTGGCAGAGATGGGATCCCACCGTACAGACTCCGAAAGCAGCATCGCCGAGAGATGCAGGAAAGTGCCAAAGCAAATGGACGTGTGCCACTACCTCACATTCCTGTAAGTAGCAGCTTCCTGCCTTTCGGAGACCTTTGTTACCTCCCAGCAGGAGGGAGACGGCAGCAAAAGCTCACGTCCCCGTTGGCTCTCACTGTAGGATTGGGGTCACACGGGAGCACGCTGCTTTGGGAAGTGGTAGCCCATGGGGCTTTCGAAAGGCAAAGGGGGATAGTCCACGTCTCCGCTCTTACACAGCTCCTGATTTCAAAATGCACAGCCTGGTAGGGGGGTTGGTTAAGAGCTGCCTGTTTATGGATCCCGCAGAGGAGCTGGGTTGTTGGGTCGGGGGGCCTGGCTAGCTGCAGTTGCAAGCTGCCATGGCATCTCTCAGTCTACGCTTTGCAGCTCATCTCGAGTGTCTTTCTGTAGCGTGTCACTAACCCTCTAGCGCTGAGCAGAGAAACGGTAAACGGAGGGGCCACGGAGGGGGCTGGGTTGGTGGCTATTTCATAGACTAGACAAATGCCACTTCCCCAGCCCGTATTTCAGTTGTGGACTGACAAGGGCAGCCCAGCCTGATGCCAAGAAGCACTATTAGCGAGGTGGGATCCTGTCTTGGCTCTAGTTTTTCCCCAGTCTCATCAGGGCAAACAGTGACCCTCAATCCGCAGCTCGCGAGCCATATGTGGCTCTTTGTGATGTAGCCTGCGGCTCCTTCCGGCTCCCTCCCTGAGCACCACAAACAGCTGATCCACGGCACTCCTGGTGGGAGGAAGCTCTCGCTCTTCCCCCACCGTACCCACGTGCCGGGAACAGCTGATCTGCACCATTCCTGGAGGGCACAGAGCCAGATTAATGCAGGGGCTTTAGGACCCTACAAAAAGATCTCCGAGCCCTCCTCCACTCAGGGCCCTGAGTAAACCCCCTGCTTTAATCTGACTGATGGGGCAGTTCCTCACACGGCTGCCCCATGCCCCACCCACACTCTGGGCGGGAGCTCCAACACTCTGCCCATGTGCTGCCCTCACCCGCAGGCACCCTCTCCGCAACTCCCATTGGCCAGGAATCACGGCCAATGGGAACTGCGGGGGTGGGGCCTGCAGGTAGGGGCAGTGCATAGAGCCACGTGCCCTCCCGTGCCAGCCACTTCTAGGAATGATGGGAGGCCAGGGCAGGCAGGGAGCCTCGGCCCCGCTGCACCACCAGTAGGGAGCTGGCTGAGGTAAATACCCTGCACCCCAACCTGCTGCCACAGCCTTGAACACCCTCCCACACTTCATAGCTGCTGCAACTCCATTGGGCACAGCCTGGGGGGAGGGGTGCCTGTCTCCTGACTGGGCAGGTCTAGGGATGTGAATAGTTAACGAATCCCCAGGACCAGCCCACCACAGGTGGAGGCCTAAGGTTTAACCGGTTAATGGATTACATCCCTAGGCAGGTCCGAGTTCGTCGGCCCCATGCGCTCCCCAGCCAGAGTGAGGAATGCAGCAAACTGTGCACTTTCCCCTCGCTCCCTGATAAAAGGGAACAGCCAGCAAGTGTTTCCATATGAATCCGAGGGGAGGAGTGAGGGGAGCTTTAGGCCCCTCTCTGTCCTTCCCAACCAGTGCTTGGTGGGGGGCGAGGCTCAGGGCTGGGACAGTTCCAGAGGAGGGTGCTCCCAGCAGCCCACCCCTTTCACCTGCCTGGTGATTGCCTCTTTTCTGTATGGTTTGATGAGAAGCAAATCCCATTCCAGGCACTTCCCATTTTCCTGGCACAACCCCTCCCCTTGCTTGAAGTTATGATGATAGGAGGCTGTGTATCGAATTTGGTGATCCTAGCTCTTACTGTTTAGGAGGAGTTCTTAGAGAAACTCAAATACATAGTAAGTGGGGTGGGGGGGCTGATGCACAGGGCATGCAATAGTCATGTGGCTCCTTTGGTTAATGGTGGTTGCAAATGTGGCTCCCGAGTCACAGAACTGTGAGTCCCGCTGCATTAGCTCCTTCGCACAACCCTTAGGAGTCTTTAGCAACGTCTGTACCTTTGCTGATCGCTGTGTGTATTTTTCCCCTGAACAAAACATGGCAGAGGACATGGCATGTCCAGGAGAGAGTAAAGAGATTTCTTTCCTCTGGGGCAGCTGTCCTAGCACAAATCAAACCAAGAAAATATCCCTGTCTCCCCGAGAAATGACTCCAGCCCGGATAGCTGCTCTCCTCTGGCCTGCTCAGAAGCAGAGCGGGCAAAATCCAGCCTTGTTTGAATCCAGTGTTTGAAATCTTTGCTTTGCCTTTGAAATTAGATTATTTTCCTGAAGATTTCAGAGGGTCTCCTGTGCTTTGATCATTGGGTTGGGAAGAAAAGCCCTGGTTGTGGAATCTTACTCGCCACTGTTGTTCAGCCTTTTCTCCTTTCACATTGTCACTTTCACAGTGTGGTTGCTGTCGAAAAGACTGGCTGGGGGCCTTTTTAGTTCCTGCTGCTGCCGTTTTTACTGTAAGCATTGCTTTCTGGGAGTGGAAATTTGAAGGCTTGGCCTTTTTTTTTTTTAAAGTTGCCGAACAGTGGGAACCATGGAGTGAATATTCTCTGACTTCAAAGCCTGTCAACAGCTTTACCTTTTGGATAAAAATAATAGTGGCTTTCTATTGATCATGTGTACTGGCAACGCTTCAGTGAACCGCAGGTTATAAATTCTGAGTGTGGCACATAAAATATGTATGGCGAACTCTGCTTTAACGAACTTCCATCTGCCAGATCTTCCTTTTGTTCCGATGAATCAAGTGTCATTCTAGCAGTGGTGACTCGCAAGCTAATTAGTTTTACTTAGCATGGAATTGTATTGACTTTTGGGGGGAAAAACGTTTTTTTTAAAGGCGAGGTTTAAATTGGACGCCTGCGGCTTGTAAATGTTTCTCCTCTAGAGCTGATCTGCATGTTCTTTGCGAATTATCTGCTCCTTGTAAATTTCACACACACACACACACACACACACACACACACGCTGCACCCAGATTTCGCAGGGAAGGATAGTTTTCCCATTGGATTTTGTGCTTTAATTCAAAGTCCCAGGGAGAAGGTGTATCAATGCATATTTATATTTGAGAGGAGGACTGAGGTGGCAAGTTAGTTCTAGTCTCTCTCCAGGGAATAAGAGTTTAGTTCAGACACTGCGGTGCCTCCTGCCTGCCAATTACTGGCATGGAATTGGCATAGACTTCAGAGGCAGTGCTGTGCTCTCACTTTGTCCAGCTGCTGGGAAAAGCGAAGGTAATTAGACCGTGCGGTTTAGCATATGCCAGTGCGGCATTTTAGAATGTTTGGTTTTTAATATTAAAATTCAGTGCAAGTGTGTCGAATTAAACCTTGTCAATTAACATCTAAGCAGGCACGTTGTCCTTTGTTGCTTTCCAAAATCAATCGCTTCTATGTAGGATAGCCCATAGTTCAAGTAATCCCGGCACCTATCTAGGCCTGGTGCGTGGCACACTCTTGGACAGCCTCTTAACTTTCTTCTGGTGGATGGTTTCACACCAGGACACAGCCCTTATGAGAGTAGCCTAGCACAGGCCGTTCAGAGAGCTCTCGCAAATTGCATTGCATGATACCCTTAGCGGGATAGAAAGCCACCATTCCCGGCAAGGAAGAAGAGTTCATAAAATCCACTAAGGATGTCTCTATTCATTTACCAGTGAAGTCTCTATTCATTTATCTGCTGCTCTGATGAGCGCTACGCAAATGCGGAAAATGATTCCAGAGCCTTTTAGGAGAGCACCTGTGCATTGAGGTGTATAAGATACAGCCTAGTCAGGTTACCCGATGGTGCTCGGGAGAGAGTGAACCAGCAGGTGTTCAGCAATGGCCAAGCCAATCAGAAATGACGAGGCCACACGTGTGTTTTGTGGGGCACCTGGGAAGAGCTCCTGTAAAACATGTAATCCAACTTGTGCTACCCTGAGTTCTGCATGTTCCACACATCTCTGTGTCTAGACACGTTAGGAGTTTAGTGTTTTCTTCTCTCAAACAGGCTCTTGCCTTTGGGCTGCGGATTTGTCTCACCTGCCTCTCAGGAACATAAGAATGGCCAGACTGGGTCAGTCCTAAGGTCCATCTAGACCGATATCCTGTTTGCCCGCAGTGGCCAAAGCCAGGTCCCTCAGAGGGACAGGACGGAACAGGGAATCGTCCCGTGATCCCTCTCCTGTCAGCCATTTCCAGCCTCTGACAAACAGAGGCCAGGGACACCGTTTCTGCTCATCCTGGCTAATAAGTATTGATGAATCCTATCCTCTATGAATTTATCTAGCTCTTCTTTGAACCCTGTTAAAGTCTTGGTCCTCACAACATCCTCTGGCAGGGAGTTCCACAGGTTGACTGTGTGTTGCATGAAGAAAAACATCCTTTTGTTTTCTGTTTAATTATCCATCAGATAAAATCGTTGGGCCCCATTCCTCCCTTCTCCAGCATGTGCTGAGACCTTTTTCAGATCTGCTGTTCCCTGACTCCACCCCCGCCTGTGCTGGGCAGGCCAGTAGCAGGGTTGGTTGCACCTGGAAGCATTATTTCTGTCCTCCTTATTGGACTGTAGGTTAACCCGCACATTCACTTGAAGCCTGTGATTTGATCTCTGCTCCTCCGTCTGTAGGATGCCCAGGTGGAACGGTCTTTCTGGTGTCGTAGCCATGTCATCCTGCATGTGACGGTGTCCATCAGACCGTCTATCATTCGGGGCGAAACTCTGGTCCCTCCCCCCCCCCACACAACACCCTTGCCTAGGAAGATCCTTCACAGGATTTAGTCCTCAAAGGGTCTAGAAAGGCCAGAAAGAGACTGTAACCAATCAGGAGCCGGCAGGCACTACTACTTTCCTGGGGGAGTGACAGGTGGAGCTGGGTCTGGGAGGGGAGACCAGTTCTTCATCCTAGCCAGGAATCCTGGGCCAGGTCGGGACCCTTGCTTAAACACAGTGATCAAGTGGTTGCTGTTTGTTTGCTTACCAGTGTAAAGACTCAGACAACCACGTTTTGAGTTGATCTGCTAACTGGTGGCGTTGAGTGCACTGCACAAGTGCTCCTGTTCCGGACGGGCCAACATGTGGTTTTGCTTTCCTGTTTCGTTGGTTTGCCTCTGGTCGCAAAAAATATCTCCCGCCCCCTTTTCTCTAGTAGCATACACAACCTTTACATTTTCCTGTGACTGTGCTTTCTGGCATCACCGTTCATGGACACTTCAATTGGGTTAAGTCATTTCGTTATCGTTGTCAGCATAGTAATACAGGCGAACCTTTCTGGTCCTGCAGTATCTGGGTCCATCATGATTTTAGTTAGCCAGATGTCCACTTATGATGGGTGTGGCCAAGTTCCCCGCAGTCTCAAAGTTAATTTACTGCCACCCGTCCTGGCTGTCAGTGTTCTGTTCGGTTATTTAGTTCTAATTTACTCCTAAACGTCTCCTAATAACGCAGCAAGCAGTGGAAGTGTTGGTAATGCTGCTAGACAATATTGACCTCTCGTGGTCTGGCAAATTCTCCAGTTTGGCCCCGGTTAGATCTCGAAGGTGCCGGACTAGAGAGTTCCATCTGTACAATAAAGGATAATGGAGAAAATGAAGTTGTCACTTCGATAGTTCGCTACCGGGCTATGCTACTGTTCTGCAGTTCAGCTCTGAAGTGCAGCATTGTTTAGTCAGGGGGAAAGAAAAAAGTAGTTGGCCTCTTCTACTTTGTGGAGGGGCATCTCTGTGACTCACGGAACGGCAGCAAAGAATTCTTTTCTCAGTCTTGTTACCTTAACAAAAAGCTCCTTTAGTTTTTCTTCCCAGGCCCTGCCTTCCCATCTGGCCAGCTCAGGACAGCAGGCTGCCTTTTAGCAGTATCAGTAAACGTAAGGCTTTCTCTAGCGAATGCCAGTGATATATAGCTTCTTGCACTTTGTAAAGTGACAAAATATTGCTATTGTGCCGAGACCACACAGCAGCTGTGCGTGACCGCACAGAGAACTAGATGCACTTGTGCCGAGAGCTAGATGCATTTGGACGTCCAATTAGAGAGGATGCTTCATGGGAAACAGTTGCCTTTTGTGCGCGGGTTAAGTAGCACAAATTGTGTGGGATGTAACAGGAAGGAAGATCCTAGCAGGCCGGCGGCCATAAGAGTTTGGCCTCTTTTGGGCACCTAGAGCCAGGTTTGCACAGATAAGTGGACGTGGCGTACCTAGACTTTAGTAAGGCATTTGTTATGGTCTTGTGTGACCTTATCAATAAACTAGGGAAATACAACCTAGGTGGGTGCATAACTGGCTGGATAACTGTTCTCAGAGAGTAGTTATTAATGGTTCACAGTCAGGCTGGAAGGGCATAACATGTGGGGTTCCACAGGGGTCTGTTTTAGGACCGGTTCTGTTCAATATCTTCATCAATGATTTAGATCAGTGGTTCTTAACCTGGGGTGCACGCACCCCATGGGGGTGCGAGATGCCCTTCTGGGAGTGCGAGACATGCCAGATATTTATGCTATATCTTAGGTTTAAAACTGACCTACTTCGACAATTTTTAATAAGGGGTGTGAGAACATATTTTGAAAACCAAAGGAGTGCAGGCTGCAGTAAGGTTAAGAACCACTGATTTAGATGATGGCATAAAGCATACGCTTATAAAGTTTGCAGATGATACAAAGCTGGGAGGGGTTGCAAGTGCTTTGGAGGGTAGAGTCGTCATTCAAAATGATCCTGACAAACTGGAGAAATGGTCTGAGGTAAATAGGATGAAGTTCAATAAGGAGAAATGCCAAGTACTCCACATAGGAAGGAACAATCCATTTCGCATATACAGAATGGGAAGTGACTGTCTAGGAAAATACTGCAGAAAGGGATGTGGGGTCATAGTAGACCACAAACTAAATGAGTCAGCAGCAGTGTGACACTTGCAAAAAAAGCAAACATGATTCTGGGAATTAACAGCAGTGTTGTGAGAGACACGAGAAGGAATTCCTCTGCTCTACTCTGCGCTGATTAGGCCTCTATTGGAGTATTGTGTCCAGTTCTGGGCACCACATTTAAAGAAAGATATGGAGAAATTGGAGACGGCCCAGAGAAGAGTAACAAAAATGATTAAACTTCTAGAATACGTGAGCTATCAGGGAAGTCTGAAAGGATTGGGCTTGTTTAATTTGGAAAAGAGAAGACTTAGAGGGAACATAATAGCGTTTTTCAAGTATCTAAAAGGGTGTCACAAGGAGGAGAGAGAAAAATTGTTCTCCTTGGCCTCTGATGATGAGAGAAGAAGCAATGGGCTTAAACTACAGCATGAGAGATTTTGGTTGGGCATTAGGGGAAACTTCCTACCTGTCAGGAGTTCAGCACTGGAATAAATTGCCTGTGGAGCTTATGAAATCTCCCTCGGTGGAGATATTTAAGAGCAGGTGAGATAAACATCTTTCAGGGATGATGTAGATGGTGCCTGGTCCTGCCATGAGGGCAGGAGATTGGACTTGATGACCTCTCAAGGTCCCTTCCAGTTCAAGTATCTGTGATTCTATCAGTAGGTAATCTTTGTCAGCCTAGATCAGTGGGTCTACATGACAGAAGCCAGACATGTATGTTAGAACACCCTGGCCTGTTAAGTGAAAAGATGGTAAGTTTTCTGCTACAAATTCCTGATGCTTCAGTATTCGCTTGTTAAATGTACCTTGTGTAACTGACTGAGTCCTGGCCTGACTGACTGATGATACATCCCCAGAGTGGTCTGTCTAGAGCATCTCTCCTCGTTAAGGAGCTGTGCACAGCGGGTGGGGAAGGAGGTCCCCGTAAGGCGAGCAGAACTCCAGTTCCATCAGGGGAATGCTGTTGGCATGGATTGTTCACCAGCCTGTCCAAATTCTACCCTGCTAGTGCTGCCTGATCCCCAGTAGGCCCATGGCTTTCCAGGCTGAGCCTTTCAGATTTGAAAGTTTTTGCTTCGATTCATTGCCCCTTTTGCTAACGGGTGGTGTGTTCTTTCTTCAGCGTACATACCGAATGCCAAAGGATATCCACGTCGAACCCCAGAAGTTTGCTGCAGAGCTGATCAATCGCCTAGAGGAAGTACAAAGGGAACGCGAAGCTGAGGAGAAATTAGAGGAGCGCCTTAAACGTGTCCGAGCGGTTAGTAGCAGGCTCAGCATTTCTGGAACCTGGAACGTAGACGTGGTTGGAATAGCTTGTACCATGGGAACTAGGGGTGTTAAATATCAGTTAATTGAATAGTCGATTAATCTCATGCACTCTTATCGGTTACTCAACTGTTCTGTAGTCCCCAGGAGTGAGGCCGGCAGCCAGTGTGCTCCGGCCCCACTCCCGAGGAGCGCCCAGGCAGGAGCTAGTCTGCGAGGGGAGCCAGTTTAAAAACCAGCTCCCCTATCTGGACTGGTTGCCTGTTGACCAGTATGGGGGAGCAGCAGCCCCTGTCCAAGAGTTTCTGAGCTCCCAGGTCAAGCCAGAACTTAGCTGGACTGACTGCCCACCTGGCTTCTAATACATTTTAAATGCAGAGCCACAGCAGGGATAGGTCCTGGATCCAGCACAAGCCAGGACTGAACCGGGCTGCTGGCCAGCCTCCTAAAAAATTGACTTGGGCGGGGAGAACTATAGCATTAACCTATAAGCTTTTGCTGGACCCCCTCCAATGCGTCCACATCCTTTTTGTAGTGGGGGGCCCAGAACTGGACACAATACTCCAGATGTGGCCTCACCAAAGACGAATAAAGGGGAATGATGACATCTCTGGATCTGCTGGCAATGCTCCTCTTAATGCAACCTAATATGCTATCAGCCTTCTTGGCTACAAGGACACACTGTTGACTCATATCCAGCTTCTCATCCACTGTAACCCCCAGGTCCTTTTCTGCAGAACTACTACTTAGCTGGTTGGTCCTCAGCTTGTAACTATGCTTGGGATTCTTCCGTCCCAAGTGCAGGACTCTACACTTGTCCTTGTTGAACCTCATCAGATTTCTTGTGGCCCAATCTTCCAATTTGTCTAAGTCACTCTGGACCCTATCTCTGCCCTCAAGCGTATCTACCTCTTCCCCCTAGCTTAGTGTCATCCGCAAACTTGCTGAGGGTGCAATCCATCCCCTCATCCGATCATTAATCAAGATATTGAACAAAACTGGTCCTAGAACCGAACCTTGGGGCACTCCGCTAGAAACAGTCCGCCATCCTGACATCAAGTCGTTGATTGCTACCCGCTGGGCCCGGCCTTCTAGCCATCTTTCTATCCATCTTACCGTCCATTTATCCAATCCACATTCCCTTAACTTGCTGGAAAAAACCCTCCAGGGTCTCTGCCAATCTACCCTGTCAGAGGTCAGAGGTGTTAACATGATGCTGGAACGATTCAACATGAACCATGTCAGACAAGGTTCAGAGTATGGCATACAGAGCCTGCCACGGCAATCACACCATTCCCCAGCGAGACGCGCCGATAGCTCTTGTGGGGGTTCTTCCCAGGGTAACACAAAGCAGAGCTGGGGACCTTGTTTGGGTCAGGGGTCACCCACCCACGGAAAAATCCATCGGGGGCCGCGCACGAGTCAGAAGCAAAAACACCAAACCAAACCCTCACCGACCTGGTCCCTGACTGTGAAGGGGAGAGACCTCCTCCATCCCCTCACACTGCAGAGACTGGCGGGGGGTGGGGGATTGTGTGTGTTCCAGCCCCGTGGCAGAGTGGGGGGCTGGAGCACCAGCGCGGGCTCCCCAATGCTGGGAAGGGGCCATGAGCCTCAGAGGCCGGATCCAGCAAGGCCTGAGGTTCCCTACCGCTGAGGTAAAGCACTGCTACTCTGACTAGAAAGGGAACTTTTGAGCATTGTTTTAGCTCAGTGGCATCCCTGGCAATGCAGATGCATCAGGGGAATGTGATAATTTGATGGGCAGGCAGGAGGAGAAACGGATTGTCGGTTCGACAGGCCGTCGGTGTGTTTCGATGGACGGGGCTGCGCAGACTTCCCCGGGCCGTAGTGTCATCGAGGGACAGGAGGCAGCTGTTGCATTCTAGGCCTGATGAAAGGGGCCTCTGACAATACTGTAACCCCCAAGCCCCCTCTAGTGGGCACGGCAGACCTGGCTTTCGTCGTTCTGGTTTGGAAAGTGCCATCTGCAGAGGCCGCGCTGTCTCCAAAATGGTATCAGCAATGCTTCCTTCCCAGCCGCACTGCAATACCTGCTGCGAGCTGCCCCAGCCAGGGCTAGGCCACCTGCCCCCCAGACCTGCTTGCCTGCCCTGCCCAAAGATGCCTTCTCATTACAGCGTTCAGGAGATTGCTATCTGCACATCTCAGCCGTTTGTCTCTGATGGGGCAGAGGGGGGCAAATACCAGCCTGCAGGCTGGATCCGGTCTGCCGGAGTTACCCCCTGGGGGGCCCCCACACCGCTGCATTTACCTGCACCCCCGCAGGTCCGGGGGATCGCAGCGCCCGTTGGCTGTGATCCACTGTGGGAGTGGCGATCGCCTGGACCTGCGGAGGTGCAGGTAAATATAGCAGCCTACCAGGAGCTAACCCTGGTGAACCGCCACAGTTTGATTGCCCACACAGGCGCACGCAGGCAGGCAGGCACACCCTTCAAGTTTTCTCCTCCCATTTCCCCCCAGGAAGAAGAAGGCGAGGACGCGGACGTCTCTTCCGGCCCTTCTGTCGTTAGCCACAAGCTGCCTTCCGCCCAGGTCTTTCATCACTTCGCCCCCCGTTACTCCGAGATGGGCTGTGCGGGGATGCCGCTGCGAGACGCGCATGAAGAAAACCCGGAGAGCATCCTCGACGAACACGTGCAGCGTGTCATGAAAACGCCCGGCTGCCAGTCCCCCGGGCCCGGCCGCCATTCCCCCAAGCCCCGCTCCCCGGAAAGCGGCCCCGCTGGAAAGGTGCCAGTGACAATACCTCCCGGGCATGGCAAGCATGCCACCAAATCAGGAATGAAACTGGACGCCGCTAACTTGTACCACCACAAACACGTCTACCACCACGTGCACCACCACGGCGGGCTGAAACCGAAAGAGCAGATCGAGGCGGAAGCCACCCAGCGAGTGCAGAACAGCTTTGCTTGGAATGTAGATTCCCATAACTATGCAACGAAATCCCGGAACTACACGGAAGGCATGGGCCTGGCGCCCAACCCCGCGGATGCCTTGGGCTACAGGTGAGTGCAGGACCAGTGGAGACCTACGCCCATTGCTTTGGCACCGGGTCATTGGGGATGACTGCCCCGCGTACATACACGTGCGGAATGGGATAGGTCCCCCCAGGTGGCATTGGTGTGGAATTCGGGGGTGACTCTCGGCCAGTCTCCGAGCAGGGCAGCCCATGGGGTGGAGGACCCTGGAGCCTTGGGGGTTGGATTCAGGTGAGCCAGGGGCTGCATCCGGCCCCCGGGCCTGAGGTTCCCCACCCCTGGCCTAAACGTTGGCTTCTCCTCACATCCTTCAATTCACGGCTTTGCTTCAAGCCCTTATTAATGGGGAGGGGGTGAGTACGAGAGCAGTAAGAGCCCTGCATCGTTCAGGACCAGAGGGACTTGCTGGAACCCTCTTGCCCGGTCTCGTGAAAGTAACTAAGATTGGCTGGATTGACCGAGGCCTCCGTCCCAAGTTCAGCCTGGGGGCGGGGCTGTCGTTTCTCAGTGACGGGGCGGTTTCTTGGGACCATCTGCCTGAGGACGGTCGCTGGAGGATCTCGGCTTCCTTCCTGTTCCTCTTCCCTTCCCCTCTTCCCACCTGCGGGGTCGACGGCAGAGAGGCGCACTTGTCCTGTTCCGTTAGGCCAGGCTTCATTAGTTACATGACTCCTGTAGGCTTCACCCAGGTCTCTTTCTGGCCCGGCTAATGGGCGCTCAGGAAATCCCCCGTGCTAATAAATGCCACAGTGAGTAACTAATTGAGAGGGCTGCCTGGCTGCAGGAACCCTCAAATGAATGTTTGTCAGGTGGGGCCAGGCATGGCAGATCTGCTCAGCACCCAGCCCCAGGCAGCACAAGTCCTGGTGGGGCTGGAGTGTCCCTCCTCG